CCCATATTTGTTCACGCCAACGTAGACCCCTGCCGAGTGTCCCGTGGCCACTTTGGGAATCACTGTAGTATACGGAAAATTTAATTTTTTTATTTTTTATTTCGAATAACGTATTGTCCGGCTATTTGATATACAAGTAAGTAGAGCTATGAATTTAAAAAGTACGTTAGGTTTTAGCTGAGATATTCGCCTTTGACAACTATGTTGTATAAATTTCCCAGTACTGCAAAGCTTTTTCCATTCACTTGGGAGTGGCCAGAAGTTATTTGTTTGCCTACGGTTCAAATCGCAGCTCAATTTGTCCGGATATTTATAGCCACGTATCCCCTGGGTAGCGACCAAACACCCTTTTGGGAGCGAGCTAATGTGGCAAGACGAAAAACGCGTTTTTATACCTTAAGTCCAGATTGTGAGGGGGTATTCAAAATTCTAAGTATGCATATTTTTTGTGCATCATTAGATCTATAACTTTATCAGTCACACAGTGTTATTATCCCGACGAAATCCTTGACGGTGGTAGCGGGTGGGGAACGGTACATGACGGTGGGAGGTTTAGTTCTGGTTAAAGTCTCACATTGACGGGGTTAGGCTTTCGATGCTTCCTCCTTGTAAAAAAAACATGTGCAATTATTTAAATCGACGAATAGTTTTATATCGACTTTTGTGAACTTCCATTTATGTGTTTGTGTACAACAAACCTCTATTGGTTACAATAATGTTAAGATATAATAACAATTTTTTAGTAATAATTATTGGTTTTGAAAAAAAAAACATTTCTAGAATATTCTTTGATTGAAAATGCTGTGGAACAAATGTTGTTGACGAAGCGATATTATGCCGAAATCCGCAATAAAATCTACGTTTTGCAAACTTTAGTCCTACAATTGTCACGCCCATTTCTAGGGGTTTGTCGCCTTAAAGAAAAATCTTGCCATACAAATATTATACCTGGGTAGGTATCCTATCGGAATCAGCAATAAAATTTTACTTTTTGCAAAAACCCGATGTTTAACATCTTACCAAATATATCTTAACATAGGTTTTCGAAATAAATTACAAATAGCTGTTGATTCTCACAAAATAAACCATCACGTCATAAAGAAAAATATTTTAAAAATAGTTCTTGAAAAACCCCAATTTTTTTAACCACGTTTTTCATAGAATATTAAACAAGGATTACGATGGTATAATTTTAAAACCCTAATTTACTGGTCTTCACTATGCAAATCAACTTCAAAAAGTTCAACTATTAATAGCTAAGTTAGCTTTAGGACAATCTTGACCACCTTATACATAGAAATGTTAAGCCCGTTTCTTAGCTCTAAAATGGCGTAAAGTGAAATCTCTGCGATCTCAAGAGAACCTGAGATATAACGATTTGAAGAAGTACATGATTAGTCAGAATTACGAAAAAATTCACACTTTGACAGATCATCTCCGAAGAAAAAAAAGAAGAAAACAAGTAAGAAAGTCTAAGTTCGGGCGGAGCCGAACATTAAATACCCG